TTAGTGCATTTGTTCTGAGTCACTAACAGACGCTTTATGCATTGACCACCGACCAGTTTGCCTTTGATTACAGCAGTTTATCTATACGTCTGGAAAAGTGCTCAAGCAAAAAAGAAACAATCCACGCGTTCTACATGTGTCGTACACTGAGCACTCGAGTTTACTTTGAGTAATTTTGCATAAGTGTACATATGTACATATTGAAATGATTTATTGATACCCACATCTATCAATATTCCATCTCGCACACTCGAGCCACAATCCATATACAGGTCACTTTTATCTTATCTACCGCATTACAGCCAACGACCGGCAGGCGAACTTAAAGCTGTTTTGCAGAACAATGGTTGATCCACTAAAATTTTTCATTTGCACCGACTTTAAATTATCATATCGAAAAGTTATAATTTATAGACATTAAAGCATAATATATATACAACATATATACACTCTGTATTTATAAAATAAGTTATAACATAAGTTATGTTTTTTTAGAAATGCTCCTAATCAAGTACATACATTACAGTATTTAAATTGTTAAGAATCGATTAGAAATGATATACCATTAAATAGTGTTAATACAGAATCGACCGAGTTTGGTTTGTGGTAACAAAAATACCTTTGCCAAAATTATTCGTTATCATTTATGTACCACATAATGGAATTAATGCATTAGACTTGTGTAATACTATATTTATACTTTTAAAAATATTTTCAACATTGCCTGTGTCGACTAAAACAATAGATTATCTATCCATATTTTGTAAAAAGATTGTTAATATGTGTTTAAAATATATTCACAATTATAACAATAAAAATAAAACATTTTTTTTTGTTTATAAAACAAAAAAATCCATTTCTCAACGTATTTTTTTTTTTTTTTAGTATTTCGCACACCGTAGTTATTGAATTTCCATTCCCCCTTAAAAAAAAAAAAAATATAAATAAGTAAAATGTATATAATATAAAATAACTATTATTACAGTTAAAAAAATAGTCATTAAGATGAATACCTGAATCGTAATCTAAATCGGTTTATTTCTTTCGGATTCGCAAAACTTCCACAATAGTAGTGGAGCAGCTAAATATTTCCTTTTTGCGCGAAAAGAATAACGATATTTTGTATGTACCGTAAAAAAAACGATTTAGGGAAATTGGCGAGCTTGAAAACACACGGATTCAATCCCGATAAGACATAATGACCCTGGTAAATTAATGTATATTTCATTATAATAGTTATTATTATTATATATTTTCGGTTCAAATTGCATTGCCTGATTAACTATTTGTAATTACGTACCAGAATGATGCCAAATTAACAAGTTCGGTCAAACATGTTTTGAAATACAGTGATTTTTAAGATTTTCGTAAAAAATTTAAACTATTTAAAGTCAAAATGTTGAAGAAATAAAAATAAATTACGATATTATGTTCGATTTTATTTTTACCACTCATTGCGACTTACAATAAACCTCTTATAAAATGATCAAGCATTTTTAATCGACCAAAATCATATCCACATAAAACGAAATAAATAATAGAATATGTAAAATACCTGTAAATTTATTAAAAAATCCAGAATGTCTTGAGAACTTAATCACGTCAAAAAGGTCAATATAAGTTTTCTGTAATCTCCTCAATTATTTTCAACTGAATTATAAATAAAATACAAAATCGAAAATAATGACACTGTTATTTCCGTAAACTTACACGGTTTTTCGGTTTTTCATTTTAGTCATTAATATAAGCTACAAGAAAAATCAAACGACCTTCTGATGCACCTACCAGGTAAATTCGTTTTGCAGTTATGATGTTACACTTCAAATATTCGAAACAAGATTTGCGGTAGAAAAACATATTTGTCCGGTTCTGCTTTATGTTTTTCCCCCTGGTTTTAGCTAAGTATTATGAAAACTATCTAGAATATTAAAAAATAACCAACAAAAGAAAAAATTAAACGTTACTGTAAAATCTATACAAATATCTATATTAAATACACCTAATATAAGCTAAGCATAGTATCGTTAGTTTTGAATTGTATTGAAAAATCGAAACGATCGTTAAAAACGTCAAAACAGCAATATTGTTAATGTTGATATTTTTTCTAGGACGTTTAAAATGTCAATTTTCAATTGTATTATATAAAACAATGCTTACTGCGGATAAAGGACAACTGTATTTTTTTAACGCCGAACATCCTTTCGGCTGGACGTGTGTTAACATGTTATCTTTCCATTGTCCTCTGACTGAATCTTTCATCGAGAATTTCAGTTCTAACTACTTAGACACGACACAAAATGAATAAACAACAAAGTGTAATAATAATTTGTAAATTTCTTGTATTATATTAAAACGAATAATCATAGCCAACATGATGATACATCCAGCGGTATTTCTAGTGTACAATTTCCTACTATTTCGGTCTGGCCGTTTTGCTTTTGTTTTACAAAATAGTTGAACTGTATTTGATTGTTAGGTGACGGATTACAATTATAAATGTTCTTGATATTATACTGGAATTCGCCCTATGAGTTAAATAATTACAATGATAAATTAAAATATACTGAGGAATTACATCAGGCGAGTATATATTTAAATTCAATATTACTATAAATGCGCTATATCAGCGTCGATTAGAGATACCTATAATGTTATTTGATAACATTCCAAAAATCACGCACTTTAGCAAGTCGCATGTGGGTAAATTTTATACTTATTTAGTTTATTTAGCTCGTTTCAAATTTCAAGAATAATCTGTATGCCAATGTTTAACATTGCAATATTCATGAATTTGCACGACCGCTGACCGAATTCTCAGAACACTCTTTCCCAGTGAAAATCTGTTTTACCTTTCCGACCTTTAAGCTAGCCGCACAGGAAATGGAAATAAAATATTAAATGTAAAATGAAAATGTTGTGACATTGTTATTTCGGCGGTCGTTCCACAAAACTTACGCTCACCGACATTTTGCACTATAAATGAAAAGTAATAAAAACGCGTCGGATTTAATTCGCATGTACAATCTACTTCCATAGCAACAATGCAATTTCAAACCACCTTTTATAATTCTGGTCTGAGTGATGGTGAGGTATGCAACGCGGCGGCATTTTAGCGGGACAAACTAACATTGATTATATACATCAGAACACACCGCAATAGTGCAGTGCAGTTGTACAAACAACAAACGCCCATGAAATGTCCGCTAGTAAATAAAAATATTTTGGCTTCTAGAATAACATACAAATGTATTATTATAGTCAGGGTTACGGATTCAAAAATAAAATATTTTTCTTCTCACGTCTATCTATGTTTTATTATCAGATTACGTTCATTTTTTTCTTAATATTTAATTATTTTCATCATTTCGTCAGTGATTTTTGTTAGTCAATGAGATTTTTCATCTACTAGATAAAAATATTTACTTAAACAAATAGCTTACTGATTGTTTCTCTCCACATTCGAATTTCGCATCGACTGTCATTTCCTATTTAATTAAGATTTTTAGTTATTTCCAATTTTGTTCTTAATCAGTTGAGATTTTTGCATATTTCCTAAGATTATATCCCGGTGATAAGGATTCTGTGGGTGCACGTACATTCCAATCGGTGGATTCGTTTCTTCTTGTTCGTTCTTTCCAAATTTCAGTCCACCTTACAAGAGGGTCTTCCATAGATAATGCTTGATATTGAGGGGGGGGGACGCAGAGCGACTTAGTATCTAAACTAATATTTTGGATATTCTAGCGTACTCTTACATTTTTTTTTAAAGGAAACACATGGGACCCGTCTGGGTTGTTATTTAAGCTTACTTATTATTATAAAATTGCTCAACTTAAATTTTTGTGTTAAATATATAAATCTTACAAAATATTCTAATATTTACAAAATGTATTATTGATAGCTCATATCTGATAACCATTCATAATATATAAATCCAGGTAATAAGTAACTACTGACCTATTATATTATTATCATTGAATAACATGATATTATCTCGTTTAACCCAGTGATCAATATTCTGATTTATGGAATTTTTTAAATGAAGATGTTTAAAATGATACCAGTTGTCCTAGGACAGATTTTTTTCCTTTCTATTTTAGCTGGTTATATCTTGTCTTATTTTGAGTTGCGCTATTTCACATAAGATTTTTACTTTTTTCAATATGGGTTAGTTTTAAATACTAATCGTATCGTGCCATTAAATGCTGTATCTACTGTCATTGTATTAGTTAACTATTGTTATGGTAGGCAGTTGGCATGTTTATTCCCCGGTTGAGTAACACAAAGTTATTCAAGATGTTATTATAATTTTTGGGTTCACACAAAAGTTATAAGAAACAATTTTAAATAAAAAATAACTGAAATGTTCGAAAAACTGAAAATATTTCTATTATTCCTCTTCGTTCATAGAATATTAATAAAAATAAACAAATCTCCTACCGTTCGGATAAAAAATTAACATTTTTTTCAACTGTTGATTTATTTTTAAACAGTACAACTGTTTCAAACAAAAAAATGTATGTTTTATTGTAACGATGATTATAGTACAATAAACAAATATTATGTTTATAAGTTATGAATTCGTAATAGTCAAATTTTGAACATGGCTGACGCAATGGTTGAAAGGGGAAAATGGGTTGTTCCCGGCAAAGAGTGTCGTGAAAATTCGATTAACGACCATGCAAGTTCAAGAAATTTGCAAGCTAGAAATTGACATGAAAATTCCCGGTAGACTTAGCTAGCCCAACGTACGTGATTTACTCTTTTTGGGTGTAAATGGATGTATCTAACCTAAGATACACTTGACCATAATAATTATAATGATAGGTTAGTATTTGTGCAATGAATGACTTACCATCGGTAAACTCGGTATTAAACTACCGGCAAATATTGAATCCTATTGGACTAAATGTATCACAAGAACAAATAGTAGTTGCTTCATGATAGCCCGTAGTTTTATTTCCATCCGCACTTGTATTGTCGCAGTAAATTTTCAGGTATTGACTTGTTGAGTGTAAGAATTAATTTTATATTTTCTATACGAGTAATAATGTATATACAATATAATGGTTGACATTTGTGTGATTCACATATGTTAACACAGTAAATAGCGTTGAAAATTATTTTTCTTTTTGCATGCCTACGCAGGCGAAAATTTCGACGAAAGATCAGTGGAGAAAAATTTAAGCGCGTTATCTTATCTTGAGGGGGGCGATTTCGTTACTATATAATATAACATATTTAAATACCCATTGGAAACTGTTTTAGGTGGAAGTTAAAAAGGCAGAATTATGTATATAGGGTAATTTAATTTAAATTACAAATAGCTATTAATAGGGCTCGGAAGTTATATGAGCTAAAAAAGGTAAAATATGTATGCAAATATGCACGAAAAAATTCTAAAATATATATATGAAAAAATGTTAAATATGCAAAATATTATTTATATTTATGATTTAGTTTATTATTATATAAGTATTTAGTATTATTATTTAAAGAATTATTCAGTTTATTATTCAAAAAAATATATTGTCACTATTAATGTGCACAAAAAAGATCAAGAAAAAATATGAATTACACCGTTGTCTTTAATCAACAATAGACTGAGACGGTAAGAAATAACAATAAATAACTAAGTTAAATAATATTAAGTTTTAAATTTAACAATTTTAATGTAAACATTTTTTTTAGAAAATATTAATAGTGCATAAATTAAACGAAAATCAATAAAAATTGAAGAAATATGCACTTTTTCTTTAAAATTAACGAATTTATAGCCTATAATTAACTTAAACAGTGCAATGATATTTTGAACACTTATGTACCTCGTTTAAAAAATACAGATTGAAGTTATAGAAATAAATTTCACTAAATTAACAAAAAACCATCGCTAGTGTTAATAATATTATTGGAGCAATATTTCTGGTTGAAAAGTCCATAATAATTAATTGATCATTATTATTTTTATTGTTATAACCCAAAAACTGAAAGGGTAATAAATAATATAATTTAAGAGTTATCAAAGGTACAAAGCCTAAAAGGGAGAAAAGGTGGATCAGAATATAATAATATATTAGAATATACCTATGAAAATATTCGGCTCATGTTCAGCTCAATAATAGATTTTTCGAATGGTTCCTTCCCCTAAAATAGGCTATTAAAATTTTTCGTAGTAGTAGTGATTAACACATGAAAAAACACACCGACGTAAACCAATACGAACAATTATTCTTACCTGCACACTCGTAATACCAATGCCAAAATTATCCGTCGTTTCAAAATATTTTACATAGTATTATTATCACCGAACGACTGGCACGAAATTGAACTGTACACATACAATGAGCGGATAGTTTTAACCGTTGTGTTTTAACTCGCACGTACAATTTTGTAACCAAATTAACCTATCATTTTCATTAAGCATGTATAAAGCTCGTCCGAGGTCGTGAAACATAATAATATCATTCATTTGATAATTTTGATTGTAATTACGTTATTAGGTATTATGATTGTTTCATCAAGATTAACAAAACAAAAGCATTGATTGCGAAATAAGATTCTGATTCGATTAAATATATTTTGAAATTCCACGATCTGTACGGTTACTATTAATAGTGAGCGGATGTAAATGATCTAAAAAACAAGAAAAATTGCTTGAAAAATACAATTCAATGCAGTTACAAAAAAAAAAAAGTTTAAAAAATGCCTTAGGAAAATAACCTAAACATTAATTTAAACGTTAAAAATTTCATTTTTTTGTCAGGTATATAAATTTACTAAACACAAATAGTGCAATACGATTACATTACAACTTGATAAATATCTTATCGTTTTTTTCATTATAGCAGGCATTGTAATTATATGTTAAAATCGGTAAATCTAAATCGGTAAACATGAGAAAATACACTTAAAAAGTTAAAAAAAAATGCTCTATAAATAAAAGAGTTCTAAAATTTCAAAAAACAATGCGTAGTAAAAATGTAATATTTTAAAATTATTTTATATATGACCCGAATTTTGTGCTTTGAAAGCATTACCTTAAGATATCCAGAAAAAATGCAATTTGCGTTATAATCCGCATCCTCATTATTAAAATTTGAACTTAAAACGTGTGTATAAAAACAACTTTATTACGCTAAACTTACCACCATTTTCAAACAAATAATACATAATAATACATTTAAAAAAAAAAAATCGAAAATACTCAAGCTTATAAATGGCTCAAAAATCACCAGATTGTTTTAAATATTTTATCATGTTTAGAAATTATAAATTTTCTGTGAAGAATTCAAATTTCTTAAATTACTTTTAACTGAGTTACAACAAAAAATCAAATAAAAAAATAATGAAACTGCGATTTCCGTAAATTTTGACATTGTTTCCTGGGGTGTCCCAATTATTAAAAAAATAATACAATAAAATTGGAAAATTTTCTCCTGTACGCTTAAACTAGATTCTAAAACCCTAAAAAATCCTCCTCTCTTGTTATTTTTTCATTGGAGCAAGATTTCTGATAGAAAAGTTGATAATTGACAGGAAAGAAATCATACATCATTGTAAAACCTAAATCTAAGAGCTGATATATCGTATATTTGATAGGTAACTTATTATGTGTACAACGTAGAAAACAGGAAAAACGATTCTGAGCAAAGTTCGGTTTAATATGTTTTAAAACGCCATGATTCTTACGATTTTCGATAAAATTTGATATTAAAACGGTTAGGTATAAAACAAAACTATAAAATTACGCTTAATTTTTGTTTACTAGCAAATAAATTTTACTTTATAGTATTTGGCTGATACTCGCCACTTAAAATTAATTATTAATTAATTATTAACTATTAATTATTATGAATTTTTTCCGTTTTTTATTTTTAACGGATTTTCAAAATATTATCAAGAATAACTACGAGAAAAAAGGACCAGTCGAGTTATTCACTGCATCGTTTTATTTATTACACACATTTTTTGCAAATGGATTTATATCTTCAGTATATAAAAACTCTAGAGTACTGCAATAACGGACATTATCTACGCAGTGTTTTTATGTTTTATAACTGTAATAAAATATACTTAGAATCATAGTTTTTTTTTTCTTTCGATTCATTTAGTATATTATTATAATATATTTTATTATGATCTCGATTTTTACATCCAGGTATACGATTTATGAATGTATTTTTCGACGCACAATATTAATACGTTATAATAGCAAATTTTCAGTGATAAAATTATACCGGAGTAATTATTTTATTGTTAGTTTTATGAAATGCATACTAAGTTCTGGGTGTTTCTAAGGTATATATACATATAAGACGTATAAAAAGGGCCTATAAATATTACGTCACTTGACCAAACGATAATTAGATAAAATATAAACGATAAAAACATTCAATGAATCAGTTGAGAATCGACGAAACACGAGCATTTTTAATACACGTTCTAGAAATTTGAAATGTGTATTTGTTTTTTTTTCAGTATTTTAGATTCTGGGCGGAATTATCTGTACCTATTAGTTTTACAACGATGCTTGTTTTTTTTTTTTCTGAATAACTTTTCTACCAAAAATTTTGCTTTGATTTTCAAGTGTAGCACTTTTTCTGAATGTAAATTTGACTGAGAAGAAGTTCATTTTTCGATTTTTTCAAGAATTTTCTTAGCATGGGAAAAACGTAGAAAAAACAGGAAAATTAATACAATATTAAACAAATATTATTACAGAAAGTATATAATGCTCATTTAAGTATTTTACCAAATATGACATTTATATTGTTGACGAAGTATCACTATCAACTTAATTACGCTCAGAATCGTTTTTTCGTTAGCAATTGTTTATCATTGCTTACAGATATACATTAAATTATCTATAACAGTGGCTGCACCCTTTTCCATTATTCTAGAAGTCTATTTTATTATCAATCTTTACGTACAGGTATACATTAAATTTACCCTCAATCTTCCCAAATAGCTTCCCAAAAACCTTCCCAAAAGTGGCCCTACCCGTTGTGCAAACTATCAAGGTTTTTTTTTTTTTTTCTACGCTTTATAGATCTAGTTGGTTTATATGTAAATTATTATTTGATTTTTCAAGTTATTTTTATAATGAGAAAAACCGATAAATCGGAAATCGGATAAACTTACGTCACTTTTGTTTTTCTACGTATAATTTGTATTAGTTTGTTTTTCGTGTAGTTTTCTTAATAATTTGAAAACACGAGAAAGTCAAAACATTGACGGTTTCATTATTTTCGATTTTGTATTGTTCTATTATTAATTTCTTGGGATTTTGTTTAGATCTGACATTTTCACAAATACTTATATCGGTCTTTTCTAAATGTGGTAACGTTTTCAAAACATTCTAGACATTTTTAAGCAGTTGATAGATATTCAGCAATTTCACTATAAAAAACAATACATTTTTTAAAACCTTTTTCAACCGAACTCTGCCAAGTAGCATATTTTTCAGTATTATGGTTCTCCCCGTACGTTCACTTTTATTTTTGTTTTTGGAGCGGAAATATCGGAACAGCGACCGTCGGTCACCGTCACTGTACGATTGATTGGCCGGTTCGCAATTAAATAACCGAATATTGATAAAAATTACCTTTTGGGCGCGGCTTCATACTTACGGGTGTGCGTGCCATTAATTCTGCGAGAGCACAACCTGCCCGGAAAGCCATTATTGTCAGAGTTGACTTTTTGATTGACACGATCGCGAAATTTAATTTACTTATCGGAATCAGCTTTCAGACACTGCAGTATAATACAATATATTGATAGCTGTGCATACAAGTAAACATTAACATCGTCGTCGTGCGGTAATACGGAAAAACACGCACCACGATATACTCGGTGAAACTCATTTTCTACGCCCATGTTGTTTGTGTGCCTTTTAATATGTTATTTTATGTGCCTGTATAAAGTATACTTAGAAGTGACGTCATCTTTTATCGGGGGAACAGGCGATTTGTGGGTTAGCCTTGTGATACATTATACAACCAACCAACAATTTGGTCCACCGGTGTATTTAAAATTTTGCCGAGGAGAAATTATTAAATTTGGAAATTGTGACATGTTATGTAACGCATGCACCTAGGCTAATAAATAGGAGAGATCAATTTTTGATTTATATATTTTTGTCAGTTATTTATACAGTTCAATCTGCTCTAAAATTATCATTTAAATCAAATGACCAATAACAC